CATCTTGGAAAGCTGTCAGGCTCCTATGGTGTCCTCTCCCCTGCCTTATCATCAGCACAGGTACGGATAAGCTAGTCAGGTCTTTACAGAAAATATTAAAAGCTATTTTATAAGTTTTTTTTTTTCCCCCTCTGACTACAAGCACTGAGAAAAAGCAGGATCTGTTGTCTTCTTATTGGCACATGCTCATTCCAGATAGACTGTGCTTAGCCATGTGCCCTGCTGCTGTTCTTCTTTCGGCCCTCTGCTTGCCAGCACTGCTTGACTGCCTCCCAGTACCTTCGAGGGAGGGAGGTAAAGGGTAGGCACAGTGGGTGGGGCCTGTGTGGTCTCCTCTGCTGTCTGGACAGCTAAGACCACATAGAGTGGCTTCACTTTACTGATGGGTGATGTTGACAGGTGCATAGAAGGAACATAGGCTGGGTGTGTGTTTGGCAGCGTTCTGGGACTACAGGAGCAATGTGTCCTGCAGAAGTCGTCACCTAGCTGATGTCACCACCTTGGCCTTGTCTGAGGTCTTTAATTTTCATTATTGGGATGTTTTGTTTGTTGTTTTGTTTTCTTTGTTATTGTTTGTTTTCTCATTTTTATTTTGTCCCAACATTTTCCTTTATAGTCCACCATTAGATATTGATCAGTTGAAGCTCATTTTAAGACTCGTTGGAACCCCAGGGGCTGAGCTTTTGAAGAAAATCTCCTCAGAGTCTGTGAGTTGATGCTTTGATTGTCTTTATCTGCCCTGTGGGGAGTCTGCCTCTTGCCTTCCATCACTCTGTACTTTGACCCTGGAATGTTTGCAAGCACATGTGCTCTGTGTGTGCTGATTTCAAGATGAGTGTGTGTGTGCTCGCGTGTGTGCGTGCGTGCGTGCCTGCATGAGCCTGCTTCCATGCATGAGTGTGTTTTATTCTCTCTTCATCTGGGTGTGGACTTGGATCATGGGAACCCCTATGGGGCAATTGTATGCCAATAAAAATTAGAGGTGAGACTCTAGTTCATTCTAAGGGATTAATGGAAAGTTTGGGTCTCTCCCCAAGCCCCAGCTTCATCCCTCAGAAGCTTTGCAAATGCTCAAGAGCCCTTTTTGCTTTTTGGGTTAGCATTTGCTCTTGGAACATGAGGTTGACCACATGGTGGTCAGACTTCATCCCTGAACAGTGAAATTTGCCTCGTGTGTGTATCATTCCCCCTTTTCAGAAGTTACTTTTTTCTGTCACCTTCTGTATAGAGTGTCTTCCCATCGGGGCTGCTTCCCCCTCTCCTCCCCTACACCCCCTCCGACTTCAGTTGCTCAGAGGAACTTCCTCCACTCCTGCTGCCCCAGCTCTGCAGTGACTCTGAGCACCTCCATGAACCTCTGTCCTTACAAGTAAATGCCCTGAGGAAACTGCTTTTTAGGGCTCTAAGAAGAGCTCTCAGGTGGAGGCATGAGAAAGTGGCTCTGGCCACTGTATCTGTGACTTGGTGCTGTTGGTCACTTTGTGGGGTCAGAAACTTTGGAGAAACCCCTCCTTCCTCTCATCTTGCCCTCCAGGAAGGAGGTCTCGGAACCACGCCCCAGCTGTGCCTTCTGGAGTCTCCTCCCACCACTGAGGGAAGGACCCTTTGCTCATATGGGAAGGCAGGCTGGAACGTGTGGGGTTGGCTGTTCACCTCCCTGAGAAAAGCAGGGACTAACATCTGCCTTGTTGGCTATGCATCTCTCCATAGGACCAGAAAACTCAGAATAGCTTTTGAATTTCCACTCTGAGGCATATGAAAGGGTGTTTGGGCCTATTTTCTTGTGTTTCCTTTACTTGTTTAAGATAAGGAAGCAAAATTAGCAAAACTGTGACTTGCCTGGTCATTTGGCCTAGCAGAGTGCATCCAGGTGTTCTGATAGTATGATCTAATCAGTGCATGCACTCATGCAGTTGCCCACTGTTCAGAGAGTTATTGTCAGAAGTATCGACCACATTGCCAAACTGAAGAGGTGCTTCTGAAATCATAGACTCAAAGATAGGACAGTGTTTAGGAAGGGCAGGTGTTAGTTCTTGTTTTAATACATTTGCTTATAACAATTGGCTAGTAAGAGGTCGTGGATGCTGTGGAGGCTTGAGGAGTGTGCTTAGCTAGTGTATAGTACTAGTGAGACATAGTGTTGGGTGCATGACCCAATATAACAGGATGTCTTTATCTTATGTGCAGTGAGCACATCATACCTTCCAACAGTTCTAGGCAGCACTGGGAGTATTTTAAAAGTGTAGGCAAAGTTAATGTTGATGAAACACCACGCAAATCCTTTATCTTAAAAGCACATGAACTAGTGACACACACCTTGAATCCCAGCAGTCAGGAGGCAGAGGCAGGCGAATCTCTTGAGTTCGAGGCCAGCCTGGTCTGCGTTGTAGAGTTCCAGGTCAGCTGGGGCTACATGGGGACCCTGTCTCAAAAAGACCGAAAAAAAAGAAGCACATGATACCAGGTGTGGTGCAAACTGTAGTGTAGCCCCAGCACTCGAGAGACAGAACGATTGAGAGTTTGGAGCCAACCTGGGCTACATAGTGAGACATTGTCTTAAAAAAGTCACTAAGAGTTGGGGCTGGAGAGATGGTTCAGTGGTTAAGAACACTGGTTGTTCTTGCAGAAGGCCCAGGTTCGAATCCCAGCACCCACATGGCAGCTAACTGTCCGTAACTCCAGTCCCAGGGTATCTGACAGCCTCTTCTGACCTCTGCGGGCATTGCACGACATGGGTGCATTTACCTGCATGCACGCAGTACATGCATACACATAAAATAATAAGAAAGAAAACTAAAGGGGAAAAAAAAGTAAAAAAAACCCACCAGGGGTTAGAGGTATAGCTCAGTGGTAGAACTCTTGCATCTACAAGGACATGGATTCATTTCCCAGTACCACCGTGGAGGAGGGGGAAGTACAGGTGGAAGAATAAAGCCTAGTGAGTAAAATTGTTTAGGGAGTTTAAAAACTAAGAAAGAAGTGGTATTAGTGGAGACTTAGCAAGCAGAAAGCGAGAGGATATTTCATTACTCCTGGAAATCGGTGGAATAGTGAAGCCAGTGTGTGCATTAAGTATAGGAACATGCGATGGGTGAGGGGAGGGGTACCAGAGGAAAGCAGGTGTATGATCATGACGGAGGCCCCAGAATAGAGAACCTTTTGGTTGGTGACCTGGCACCTAGACGAACTGGTGAAAGAACAAATTAGGATATTAAGAAAGCAGAAGCCTGGTCCATCTTTCCTTTATAAAGACTAGCTTGCTGACCTCCAGATGGGAGGGCACTCCAGTCACCCCTTGACTAAAGCACTCAGAACCAGAACCTGTGCAGGCCAAGTCACTCACAGGGGAAAGATGGCAGGACTCTGGCATGTGAGACCTAACTGAATCCTGCTGTGCCTAGTTCACTCTGTAACACCCCCCCCCTTTAGTTCTTGTGCATGCAAAGTATTGTTTAGTGTGCGATTTGCTTGGAGAGACATCTACAGTTTGTGGTCTTTGGGCTCAGGGAGAGGAAGGGCATAGCGGAGCACTGTAAACACGTTATCTGACCATCAAGTGAGCTCATAGGGAAGAGCTATTCAGGGAAGCCACAAGGGAGTGAAAGCACCTGGCCTGGTGTTAATTAAAGACAATACTCGATACTTAAAGGAATAGAAGGGGAGCTCACGGAATTATGTTCAAGATTTTTAAGTGCCATCATTTCTACCTTTGGCGGGAATGTGAACAGCTGGTTCTTGTATTTTGGAAACTGTGTGGTCTATAATTGGGGGATTTTGTTAATATTGATGGCATGGTTAAAAAGTTCAGAATATGCCAGTGGTGGCGCATGCCTTTAATCCCAGCAGGTGGATCCTCTGTGAGTTTAAGGCCAGCCTTCTCTACATAGTGAGTTGCAGGACAGCTGGAGCTACAGGGAGACCCTGTCTCAAAAAAACCAAAATTTAAAAAAAGCCGGGCGTGGTGGCGCACCCCTTAAATCCCAGCACTCGGGAGGCAGAGGCAGGTGGATCTCTGAGTTCGAGGTCAGCCTGGTCTACAAAGTGAGTTCCAGGCAGCTGGAGCTACAGGGAGACCCTGTCTCAAAAAGACCCCCCCCCCAAAAAAAAATGTTCAGAATAGAAATAACAGGTGGTGAGATGGTTCAGTGGGTAAAGGAGCTTGCTGCCAATCCCAAGGACCTGAGTTCAATTCCTGGGACCCACATGGTGAAAGAAGAGCGCCAACTCCTACAACTTGTCCTCTGACCTCTGCACATGCATGGCACCTGTGCTCTGCCCCCCCCAAGTAAAAAATGTAATAACAGACGAGGTGTTTTGCATACTTTGTTCCAACTTTGTGTTCACTGAAGTTAATGTATTCACTCATCTGAGAGATGTGGGAACGACCATCATGGTGTGTTCTGACCCTTCACCAGCCTTGGCTTCTGTTTGCCTTTGCCATCAGCTCCTAACTACCCCCTTCATATAGCTGTGTGTTCATGGCATGCATTTTAAATGTACCACTGCTAACATCTTTGAGACTGGACATTAATTGTCACTTCACCCACCCGTTTCTTAATTTGGAGGGTTGTGGTGCCTTAGAGAACTTAGGCCACAAACATTTAACCTCTTCTTTGGATGAATCCTGTGGATATTATTTCAAGTTTAGTCACAATTTTCTCCATAGGCTACTTTTGCCCCACAGGCAAACAGGTTTTGGCCATTGATAACTTGAAATGAGTTCTGGCTGGCATCCTGGATCAAGGAGCAACCTGCCTCCGAGGAACTGAAGGTAGTTGGTGTGAAAGATGACACTTAAGCCAAAGAAGATTAGCTTTCATGCCTGAAAGGCCATTCACCAAAGTGTGGTTTTGTAAAATGCGGCCTTAGGCTCTGGCCTGGGGTGGGTAAGAAACGGGGTTGTTTTATTTTGGGGTAGCTTTTTGACTTTTTAAAAATCTTCACTTGACGATTAAATTTTGCACTGTGTGTTTAACAATGCCCTTGACTAGGCATCTAAGATATTAACCAGCTTCAGCAGATTATGCGTCTGACGGGGACGCCCCCTGCTTATCTCATTAACAGGATGCCAAGCCATGAGGTGAGAACAAGTGTGATGTTGAGGGCTGTCTAACCCAGAAGGCCACTCTTACTGCCTCTGTATGGCTGACAGTTCTGTGTCACCCAATGCTTGCATGTGCCCAAGGACCACTCAGGCGTTGGCTGCTGTGTGCCAGTGACGGTGTTGACATCTGGGACCCAAGTGTCATCCACTCTAAGATCAGCACAGCCTAGGCTGGAAACAGAGAAAGTTCCTTTGGTATTTGGTTCTATGAGTGTGCTTAAGGGACCCAGATGTCTCTTTCCAGGGATGTGCCTGCTGGTAAGGCACACTGCAGTGTGACAGCTTTGCCAGATGCACATCAGTGAGTTCACTAGAATGCTTTCATGTTTATCCATTTTTTTATAATGACCAAGAAAGGGTTTCATATATACACCTCCGCTATAAAATATAGGCATACTGTATTTTTTTTAAGATACAAATAAGTTAAATATGAGTGCTTGAGTGCTTTCTTTACAAATAATTCTTTTTTTCTTCTTTATGTGTATGAGTGTATTACCTGCATGTATGTAAGCGCACCCGTGTTGTACAGGGCCGAGGAGGTCAGAAGAGAGCATCAGATCTTTGGACCTGGAGTTATAGATGGTTGTTAGCCACCATGTGGGTGCTAGGAACTGAACCTGGGTTGTCTGTAAGAGTAGCCAGTGCTCTTAACTGCTGAACCGTCTTTCCAGTCCTACAAATAATTCTTAACCATTTAACCTAACTCCAGGTTTCTGATCAGAGGTGATTAGGGTGCTTCTTTCAAAAGTGCCCTTAATATTTGGAGTAACTAGGCTCACACAGACAGCCCCTCACAGCAATGGTTTCTGTCTCAGCCATGTCCAGCCGGTCTTCTTACTTTGTACTACAAGGATGACTTCTCTGGGTAAGACTGGCCTTACCTCAGTCATCAGCTCTTCCTTTTAATCGACATGGCTAAGTAGGAAGGGATTATGCCATGTACATGTCTGGTTCCTGTAACTTCTTTTCCAATCGGAAGGGTCTCCTCCACTGGCTCCGCACCCACTCCTCTGCCAAATTTAGCATTTTAGAAAGCTCTCTGACAAAGGACTACTTCTTAGAAACCTTGCCTCTGTCTTTGAACTTCTGCTCTTAGGGTCGCAGCTAGTAAAGCAGCATTCATTGTTAGTAGTCGCCGTCACATGAAGCCGAGCTTCAGGAGACAGTGGAAGTGACGGCAGAGATCATCGATAGAGGAGTTAGAGCAATGTGAAGAGAGAGAACATCTCAGATGGGCCCTCATTGAGTTGGGGCAGGGGACTTCGTCGCCCACTACTCTTCACAGGGCTGTGACTCCAAGGGGGGTAGCACTGCTGACCTCAGTTGTTCTAAAAACCCTTGTTTTTGCAGGCAAGAAACTATATCCAGTCTTTGGCCCAGATGCCTAAGATGAACTTTGCAAACGTATTTATTGGTGCCAATCCCCTGGGTAAGTTGATGATGTACTCTTTTTATGATATAAATTAGAGATTTGAAGAAAAATCTGTTTTCTTTTGACTGGAGAGTACCATTAAGTAACTCTTGGAACACAGATGAGTCTGGCAGTTACTCTGCATGTTTCTGCTATTTCATTTTAAAACATCATAGGATAGACTTGAATATTTATATGGTCACAGAATAAGACGGTGAGTAGAATGAGCTACAACGAGCTAGAGGAAAACCGGGGGAGGCAGAAAGAAAGAAGAGGCAAAAGCTGTGATTTTTCTCACAACTGCTGTTGATGGCTGGGGCCCCAGTGGAGGATGGGGGCCCAGTGGACAACCCCAATGTGCTCTGCATTAACCACAGCTGCCCAGCACTGTGGAGCCTGTCCTCCTCTCCCTCTGCCCCTCAGAGGCTCAGTCCACCTCTTTACAGACCTAGTTTGCTATTAATCTTCCTTCCTGCCTGTTACCCCCAGATCACTGTCATTTGGTGGCAGCTGAGGGTTGTATTGCCTTGGCAGTAAAATGAGTCTCTCTGTTCCTTAAAGCTTAGGGCTCGTCGTACTTCAGATGGTTCCCAGAATGCAGCTTCTGCAAGAACTCTAGTTCCTAGCTCTGGGTCAGCATAGTGGACAGTGGTAGACACAGAAGGGTCAGGCCAGGACCTCCCCACAGTAGCGCAGTGGTCCTGCTCACATTCCTGCAGATGGTATAAAGATTTATAGCCTGTCATGGTGGCAAACACCTTTAGTCCAGGCACTCAGGAGGTAGAGGAAGGAGGATCTCTGTGAGTTCAGGGCCAACCCAATCTACATAGCAAGTTCCAGGCTAGCTGGGGCTACAGGGAGAAGAGACACTGTCTCAAAAATAAAATTAAATAAATAATTTATTCTTTGCTTTTTGTTTTGAGGCAGGGTCTTACTATGCAGTTCTCTCTGGCTAGCCTAGAACTCCCTTTGTATAGACCAGACTGGCCTGAAACTCAGAGACCTGCCTGCCTCTGCCTCCCAAGTGCTAGAACCACACCCAGCATATTCATTTAATTTTATTTTTATTTTATTTTATTATGGTCTTTTTGAAATGGTCTTCCTGTAGCCCCAGCTGGCCTGGGACTGACTATGTAGACCAGGCTGGCCTCGAACTCTCAGAGATCCACCTCCCTCTGCCTCCCAACTGCTGGGATTGGAGACCTGCGCCACCATGCCCAGCTGCATATTCATTTATGTGTATATATATGTGAGCCTGCATGAGGGTGTGTGCACCATGTACCTGCAGAAGCCCACAAAGGCCAGAAGAGGGTATCAGATCCTCTGGAGCTAAAGTTACAGGTGGTTGTGAGCTGCCCAATATAGATGCTGGGAACTAAACTTAGGTCCCGTGCAAAAGCTCTGAACCACTGAGCCACTGCTTCATCCCCCAAGGGTTTGTTTGAAAAGCTCACTGAAAAGAACCAGCTACCTGTAGTCAGTACCAACTGCTGATGGGTAGAAGGAGGCTCTGGCTGTCTGGTGCTGGGCACAATCTGCTTGGATCCAAATGTGCCTGACAGCCATTGCCGAATGGTGATGTCAGAGTATCCTTGCTGCAGAGAGAACACGCTGTTTCCGATCACTAGCTGTCCCGTGTGCTAGCCAGTCATACACCAGCAATATAAATATTAACAGCCCAGTTGTGCCAGTCACTGGGTTCACATCACTGTTTCCAAAACACAACCAAGAACTTAAAATTGCCCTTTGATCTTAGTGTGTCTATTTATGTCTGCCAAGATCCTTGAGAAATGCTTCTGACCTTGTTCCTCATCTCAGCGCACTGACTCTGAGGACGTGGTACTTTTCACCCTAGGGGTAGAAAGTACCGGTCCTCTAATTCTACTCAGTTATACAAGCAGCAGAAACTATCCCAGAGGAGCGTGTACCCAGGCAGTTTGCCTTGTTTTTTGTTTTGAGATGGGGTCTCTGTAGCCCAGGATTATCTTGCACTTGTTATCTTCCTGCTTCCGCCCCCAAGTGCTGGGTTACAAGTATGCACCACCCTGCCCAGTTCATGCAGTGCTGGGTTTGGAACCCAGAACCTCATGCAAGCTAGGCAAACACTCTACCAAATGAACCACTTCCCCATCTTTTCTCCCAGTACTTTTAAGTGTAACCTTAGGAGTCTGAGTCAACATGTACATATTTGCCATGTTTCTGTGTACCCATGAAACTTGTGTTTCTGTGGGGAGTTCTGGAGTTCAGGCTGCAGGATGGGGGTTCACAGCCATGTGATAAGACAGTGTGACCAGCAGGATGCTCTCCTCTTTAGTACCTACAACCTTCTACTTTTTTTTTTTTTTCAGTCTTTTTGAAACAGGCTCCCCCTGTAGACCACGCTGGCCTTGTCACAGAGATCTGCCTGCCTGTGCCTCCCAAGTAGTAGAATTAAAGGCATGCACCTCCTCACCCAGCCCCACAACCTTCCATATTTAAGACATAATTTGTAAAGTCTGAAAAAGCTTTTTGTTTCACAATGATAACTGGTCATTGTGGTATTATCCTTTCAAATGTTTCCATGCCAAAAGTCAGAACATACTGATGAGAGACAGAAAGATGCTTTCTAACTTTTCACCCTAGTGAGGTCATTGCTTGGGGAGGGAAAATCAGTGGATGCTAAAAAGCCATTATGAAAGTAACTGATACCTCAGTATCCCAGAAATTACTCATTCAGGGAGAAAGAGAAGAGATCTCAAGACACTGATCAAATTTAGCACCATTAGCACTGGGGCAGGTGGCCACAGTGCAAGCACTCACCTGTGACATAGTCTTCTTTTTTTTTTGGTCTTTTTGAGAGAGGGTCTCCCTGTAGCCCCAGCTGTCCTGGAACTCACTATATAGACCATGCTGGCCTTGAACTCACAGAGATCTGTCTGTCTCTGCCTCCCGAGTGCTGGTATTAAAGGCTCATTATTTTTTTATTTTATGTATATGCGTGTATTGTCTGTGTGTAGGTAAGCGTACCATGTTGTGCAGTGCCTACAGAGGACAGAAGAGGCTGTCAGATCCCCTGGAACTGGAGTTACGGACAGTTGTTAGCTGCCATGTGGGTGCTGGGATTCAAACCTGGGTCTTCTGCAAGAACAGTGTTCTTAACCACTGAGTCATCTCTCCAGCCCCCTAACCTTGCTCTTAACAAATTTTTAGATCTAACTTCTGGTTTTTGGTAAATCAAAATAGAGGAAAATGAGAGTATGGGTACATGGTAGTCCAAGGAAGTAATGGACTACTGGTGAGGGTGGTCCTCAAGACAACTAGGGGGTCTTTACAGATGAAAGCCAGGGGAACAGAGGAGAGGAAGGAGAATTAGGAATACTGCTTGTCCGTAATCCCAGCACCCAGGAAGTGGAAGTAGGTGGATAAATTCAAGGTCAACCTGAGCTACCTTGCTTATTTGAAGCCAGCTTGGGCTACATGAGATCCTGTTCTAAAAAAAAGAGAGAGTGAGAGCTGGGTGTGGTGGTACATGCCTTGGGAGGCAGAAACAGGTAGATCTCTGAGTTCCAGGCCAGCCAGGGCTACATAATAAGACTCTTGTCTCAAAAGAGAGAGAGAGAGAGAGAGAGAGAGAGAGAGAGAGAGAGGAATAACTGAATCCTGGTTTGAATGCAGAAGTTATAGGAGATCATTTTGACACGAGCCCAATTTTAGGTGGCATTTGATAGTTTATCAGATGTAGTAGAGTGCCTACAGGAAGCATTTGCGGATAGAGTGCTGTCTCCTCTGTGTCCCGGGGAAACCCTCACTTTGCTCATTGTTTGAAGATCCGTTGAATGAATATTTATTTACATTATGTTAGTAAGTAAACAGTTGGGGGGAACACAAAAGTAAACCAGCCAAACGCTATTCCTCCTGCCTCTCATAGATTGCTTCTTTGATGTTTAACCTCAGTGAGACTGACGTGGTTGGGTTGTTTGGTTTTGCTTACTGTCATGGATATCAAACCCAGGCCCTCTAGAATGCTTAGGCAGGTACCTCACTGTTGAACCCCAGCCACAGCCTAGTAAATATGTTCTTAAAACATACCAAGTACATAGGTACACATATACACACAAAGGAAAGGGGTTCCATGCCAGAGCTGATACCTCAGAGAATTCTGTTGGTTATGTCTGGTGAGAGTTGTGCTTGTGAAGCCCTGGCATGCCTTGTAACATCTTTCCCTCTGTGGTGTGACAGCTGTCGACCTTCTGGAGAAGATGCTTGTATTGGACTCAGATAAGAGGATCACAGCAGCCCAAGCCCTTGCTCATGCCTACTTTGCTCAATACCACGACCCTGATGATGAGCCTGTGGCCGACCCTTATGACCAGTCCTTTGAAAGCAGGGACCTCCTTATAGACGAGTGGAAAAGTAAGTCTAAAAACAAGGCTAGCGTGGGCCATAAGAACTCACTTTTAGTTCACTTTTGTGTGTGTGTGTGTGTGTGTGTGTGTGTGTGTGTGTGTGTGTGTGTTTACTTCCATGTATGTAAATGTACCACGCACATACAGTGCCCACAGAGGCCAAAAGAGGGTGTTGGATGCCCTGGAACTGGAGTTAGAAACGGTTGTGAGCCTCCCTGCACTTTTTGTTTTAACAATGCTAGAGATTGACCCTAAAGCCTTGAACATGCTGGACAAGTGCTCTGTGCTGAGCTGTGTACCCAGCCAAAGATCTTCTAAAAATCTTTTCTAGGTGAATCACTAACCAAAAGCTGTGGAGGGAAAAAAAAAAAAAAAAAAAAAAACTTCTGAGAAAGCTGGGGGGTGGGGGGCACTTGTGAGTGGCGGCCCATGTGGTGGCACATGCCTATAGTCCCAGCACTTGGGAAGTAGATAAGATTTTGGGATCATCATCAGCTACATAGGTAGTTTGAAGCCAGCCTGGGCTGTAGGACACCCTGTCTCAAAAAACAGAATAAATAAAACCCCTTCTGAGTGGTTACTGCCAGCTTACTAAACTTACTTGTGGGGTCTTCGGTGCAGAAAGCATTGCTCCTTTGTGGAGTCTGTTGTAGGTGACAAAGGCTCTGGGCCTTTGTAATGCTTAGGGCCACTCTTGCATTGTTTATAGCCCTTCCTGTTCACAAAGGGCTTTGAGGGTCTTGGGATTTTGCACTTAGAGCATCTCTTTGGGATAAGTGAAGTCCAGGGTATTTTCAGTTTTCAGGTTGGTACAACTGAGGCAAGGAGAGTTTATACCTACCTGTTACCATAGACTGGGTAGGACAGCCAAGAGTGGAGTCACATTGCCCATGTCCAGTCTCGATCCTTTCCGTTAATCACAAGGTTGAGTGCTCCAGTTAAACCCCAGAGCCAGGACTGTCTTATGGCAGTGTGGAGATCCATGTTGTTTCTGAGCACCTTCCTCAGAGAGCTTTCAAGAGGAACACTCAGCAGTGAGAGGAGATGCTCTCTTCTTGGTGCCCTGAGCCTCTCTGGGGCTGAGCTGCACATTGCACACACGTGGCAAGGCAGTTATATGAAGCAGCCCATCAGACCACTCCTAGATGGGAGGGAAGATCTGAGAGCCTGCCAGCACAGCATGGTCTGCAGTCTCACATCTTCCCCTCCTCCCCTGTCTCTAGGCCTGACCTATGATGAAGTCATCAGCTTTGTGCCACCGCCCCTTGACCAAGAAGAGATGGAGTCTTGAGCACCTGGTTTCTGTTCTGTCGCTCCCACTTCACTGAGGGGACGGCCTTTTCATGGAACTCTCCAAGTATCATTCAAGTGCCTCTTGCGGAAAGATCCCTCCGTGGTGGAAGGGGTGTGTGTGTGTGTGTGTGTGTGTCTATGTGTGAGTGTGCCTGTGTGTCTGCCTGTGGAAGGGTAAGAGCATAATGTGAGCTGCATGCTCTGCCCGGTCTCTTGGAGTCAGTGCAGACAGACAGGAGCCACCATCTTAGGGATATGTTAAAACGCAAAGTAAGAAATATTAAATGTCCCTGATCCCAGTTATACTTTTGCGACTTTGGCTTCTCCTGTGGCCTCACCGTGACCACACACCACAGTGGCATAGAGAGGAGGCTCACACCTGGCTGCTTCAGGTCCGAGGCCGTCCCCCAGCAATGCACACAGCCAAAGAGGACCAACTGGCTTCTGGGCTCTGGCCTTTGATTAACATGTCTTCAGAACTCTACAGGTGTGTTCGAAACTGTAAATGTGTTTGTGCCTTAAAAGGAGAGAAGGAGATGTAGATAGTTAGAAAACTGCAGCTGCTGAAGTTCTGAGCCAGACAAACGGACAGGGCTGTTGGCTGGCTGGTGGGTGAGCCGGAAGAAACTAGGCAGCCTTCAGGGAGGCCATGGGTGCATGTATGTGCATGTGTGTATGTGCAGCTGCCCTCCTCTCCCTCCAGGAGCGTGCAGTTTCTGTGCTTATCCCCCCTCACCTCAGTGCAGAGGTCTCCAGTGCCAGGCACAGGTGCCCACGACTTGCAGGCGGGGCACTTTCTATGTGCTCTTCATGTATAGGGAGTGCAGATGTGTTTGCACGCAGTGCTGTTTGAGCATGCACAGCCCTTCGTCCTGTTCTCTTCTGGAAGCTCTGGGCCGGGCAAGTGTGCCTGTGAGACTTCCTGGGCAGTTCTGATGAAGTAGCTGTGGGCTAGCTACTTCATCCTCCAGCGCTGCTCCATCCCCAGCGCTGCTCCATCCCCAGTGCTGCTCTGTATTGAACACAATTCATTCTTTAGGTGCTCTTAACATGCAGCCCATGAAAATGTGGGGCAGGTGGGCAGATAGTGCCCTCATCCTGCCCTCTGATCTTCAGCCAGCCCTCGGGTAGCAAGATCGGGGCTTTTCCCAGGAATGCCCCCACCTTTGGAAATCAAGCTGTTCTTTTCACTCCCATTAACCAGCGCTGAGAGATGCCGAGAATCAGAATCAAAGCTCATCAGGCCTGAAGCTCCTTTCACTGCCTCTTTAAATAGGATTGTTAAAAAAGAAAGCCACATCACAGGAGTCTCCCTGTGGGAAAGGGTCTTCCTTGCAGCTTGACACTGGCAGAGTTTTTGGTCTTGGTGTTGGTTGAGGGGGAGAGAGAAATTTTGTCTCAGACTTTTGTATGTTATAGGAATCCGTAGAAAATGTGATTCCGTCTGATGGGGAGAAAGGGCAAATTATTTTAATGTTTTGTATTTTCACCTTTATAAAGATGAAATATCCTCAGGGGTGGAGAACTGCATCATCTTCTGAATTTCGGGCACTTTGTGCTACGTGAGGACCCACATATTTAAGCCTTTTATGTAATAAGAGTATAAAGCCAATTCCAGTGTTGGCCGTGCAGTGCAAGGTCTTATATTTAGGCCAAGGTGCCCCCACTCTCTTAGTGCAGGGACACACGCTCCAGAGGAATCATTTGGAGCCCAGGAGGAGGTGGGCAGGTGGCGAACCCTTCTCACCTTCCCCTACGAAGGGACATGCCTCACCTCCTTCTATACATTTTCTCAGCCAGGTCTCGTTAGGAATGCGAGTGTGATTTCCTGCAGAAATACTGCTCTGATGGCTTTATCACAAAGGTCTTTGCACACGTGACCATGTTGTGTTAGGAGGCTGCATGGTCAGCAGCCTGGACTTTAAGCTGGAGCAGGCGGACGAGCTCCTGGCATGCCGCACAGTGCTCCCATCTCCCAGCTTCTTGGAACAGAAGGATGCAAGAGACTGCTGTTGTATTTGCATTCTTGAACTTGGCCGTAGTCAGGTGTGCCATAGGATGTCATAATACCACTGGTTAAATAAAGCCTATTTTTCAAATTCAGTGAGTTTCTCAAGTTTATTGTGTGTCTCTTAATTATTTTTATTTAAGGCATAAGGTGGGATAGTGTCGGTGTGTTTTCAGCTGTGACCTGATGTACATTTCCAGCAGATCTTCCTAAAGTTGAGCAACCATTTATAAAGCTGCTTAGTTGCATGTTCATGGTGAAGAGTTGGGTCTTTGCAGTGGGTGGATAAAGCAAAGTGCAAACCCACATGTGAGACCAACAGGATTATGTACTGTGCTTGGGTAGAGGGGTGGCCCAGGACAGGGACCCCTAACACCTGTCTTTACATCTCGAATGGTTGAAAAGAATCAAAAGAAGAATTTTTCTGTAGCATGCACAAACTGATGTAAAATTAAAACTTCAGTGTCCAACTGGGTGTGGTGGCGCCCTCAGGAGGCAGAGGCAGGCAGATCTCTGTGAGTTCAAGGCCAGCCTGGTCTACATAGTGAGTTCCAGGACAGCTGGGGCTACAGGAAGACCCTGTCTCAAAAAAAGACAAAAAAAAAAAAGTCAATGTCCATAAATAAAGTATGATTGGTGAATAACCACACTTGTTTACATGTCACCTGTGGCTCTTTTTCTGCTACAGTGACAGTTGAAACAGTTGAGACAGAGACTACAGATTTTGCCAGCTCAACCACTTAACATTTAGCGGTTCTTTATAAAGTGAATTTTAAGTTGCTTTCAGCTTAGATGGTCTAAGTATGCTGTTTTTTTTTTTTTTTTTTATTTTAAAATTGCCAGAGAGTAGACTGGGTGAGTGCCTGTGTGCACGCGTTGTTTATAGGAAACAGCCCTCGAAAATGCTCTTCAAAACTTAGGAGTTGCATCATGGGATTAGAGGGCTAGGAGAGGCTGGAGAGATGCCTCAGCATTTAAAAGCACTCAACTGCTCCTGCAGAGAACCCAGCTTCAGTTCCCAGCACCCGCCATCTGAAACTCCAGTTCAAGGGATCGAGGCCTTCTGCTTGCCAGGAGCATTGCACGGAAACAGCCCTCGAAAATGCTCTTCAAAACTTAGGAGTTGCATCATGGGATTAGAGGGCTAGGAGAGGCTGGAGAGATGCCTCAGCATTTAAAAGCACTCAACTGCTCCTGCAGAGAACCCAGCTTCAGTTCCCAGCACCCGCCATCTGAAACTCCAGTTCAAGGGATCGAGGCCTTCTGCTTGCCAGGAGCATTGCACGTATACATAAGGGCAAAACACATAAACGTTTTTTTTTTTTTTTATGTGTATGAGTGTTTTGCCTGTGTGTATGTGAGTGTACCCGTGTTGTGCAGTGCCTCAGAAGTGGAGTTAAGGATGCTTTGTAGCCACCATGTGGGTGCTGGGAATTGAATCCAGGTCCTCTGCAAGAGCAGTCAATGCTCTCAACCACTGAGCCATCTCCAGCCCCTAAACATGTATTTTTTAAAAGGTCACAGTCTCACAGATGAGTTCTCAGAACCTTTGCTGGCATGGGTCCTGGAAATAACAGCAGGTGTCCCAGCATGGGCTGAAAGGCCCAGCCCAGGGGGATACTGGGCCAGTGTGCAGCTGGACTTTCTGTCCTACACTGGCCAGTCCCTGGCTGGCAGCTGGTAATTCAGTGATGGAAGGCAAACCCAACACAGCCTCCGGTCTTGGCCTCAGTGACTTCTCACCTGTGTGAGAAAAGGGCTCTGATAGTCACAGGCACAATAACTCTTGTGACACTCATACAGCTGGGCCAGTGAGATGGCTCAGCTGGTAAAGACACTGCCAAACTTGACAACCTATGTTGGATCCTGAGGACCCACATGGTGGAAGGAGAGAACAGACTTCCTCAAGCTCCTTGAACGACCCCCACCCACCCCCACGCACACAATAAAATCTTTAAATGTAATCTTTTAAAATTTTTGTTATGTGTATGAGTGTTTTGCCTGCATGTATATAAGTGCACCCATGTTGTACAAATCTGTGGAGGCCAGAGGAGGGCATCTGATCCCTGGAACTGGAGTTAGCGACAGCTGTTAAAGACATTTCTCATTAAATGTAATTTTTAAAACAAAACTTTTCAGACTATTTAGCCTTCACATGCTAGACTTGAGCCAGCCTTCCTCCCGGGCTTCTGAGAAGAGGGCCTGCTTACAGTGGTGACCAGAGCCTCTCCGAATGTAGTGGAAGAGGGGGGTATTCTGATGGCTTTCTTTGTCACAAAAACAACTGCCCACAAAAACATGTTCATAATTTCAGATCTGTTGACATGAATAAAGAGAATGATTCTGGTGTTTTTCAAGTGGAGCATTTTAATGTCCTTATGCCTTGATTTTTACAACATAATCACAGAAGGAACTTTTGAAAAAGTTGAAGTATGGGCTGGGGGTATGGCTCAGTCTGTAAAGATACTGCCTTGTAAACACCAGCACCTGAGTTCAACCCCTAAAACCATGGAAAAATAGCTGGGCATGTTAGTGTGCACTTGTAATCCCAGCCCTGGGAAACAGACAGGTGGATCCCTCGGGTCACTGACCAGCCAGCCTACCCTACTTAGTCCCAGGCCAGTGAGAGACCATGCCTCAAAAGAAGTGAGGTTGAGGCGAGAGAGATGGTTCAGGAGTTAGGAGCACTGGCTGCTCTTCCAGAGGACTCAATGAATATGCAAAGACCTGAGTCCATTTAGCATCTACACCTCCACAAATCTTCACTAGTTCACAGACAAAAATGTGAAGGGCCATTCAGTACCACATTGTCACTGATAGGAGACAGGAGATGGTTCACGTGAGACGGTCACATGTCTGTCAATAAGGGCCTGATTGGTCATCTATCCCACATAAAGACTCATGGGTGTTCCTATGAGGTTGGTGGTGGGAGGTAGAGCAGGGCTGTGCCATAGTCTGTCTCCTTTTCTCATTTGTAGGTGGGGAAGGTTGAGGACCCTTTACTCAGAATGCTTAGGTTTCAGATTTCAGAGTTTCTCATGTTTTGGACTGTGTAGGCTTGACCCACTGAGCATCGCTGTCTTTGTTTCTCCGTTGCTGTGACAAAACACTCTGACCACTGCCAACTTGGAGAGGAAAGGGTTTATTTGGCTTACATCTTCCAGGTCACAGTTCATCAGGGAGCCCAAGGTAGGTAGGAACTCAGGGCAGGAACCTGGAGTCAGGAGCTGGAGCACAGGCCAGGAGGATCATTGCTTACTGGCTTGTTCCCCTGGCTCCTGCTCAGCCTGCTTTCTTATGCAACACAGGCCCACCTGCCCAGGGGTGGCACCACCCACAGTGGGCCGGGCCTTCCCATATCACCCAACAATCAAGAACATGTCCCATGGACATGGCCACAGGCCAGTCCAGTGAAGGAAATTCCCCAATTGAGGCTCCCTCAACCCAACCCAGGTGTGCCAAGTTAACACTAAAGCTATCCAGCACAGTCGCTAATCAGAAACTCCCAAGATCTGAAACTTAGTGACAATATGAGGTATTCTAGTTTTCAGATTTGGGGTTGGGAATGCTCAGACTACAACCAAGAAAACCTTGAGGGACACACACGGGGCCCAGCTCTTTGTACCATCTCTAAAAATGTCTTAAATTTTTTTTTATTTTATGGTTATGAGTATATTGCCTGCATGTAAGTACACCTGTGTTGTGCAATGCCCATGAAGAAGAGGGCATTGGATTGCCTGGAATTGAAGTTATAGACTGTTAGCTGCCATGTGGGTGCTGGGATTTGAACCTGGTCCTCTGCAAGAGCAACCAGTACTCTTAACCCCTGAGCCTCTCCCCAGCCCCTGACTGTCTTGTTGGTTGGAGACCCACGCCTTGGTTTTGCTTCGCCTGGGCTGACAGAATCCTTTCTGGTCCAGACTACATCCAACTCCTGAGTTTTGGGACACACAACACCACTGTAAAGCACCTCCCCCAGTCGGGGGCTGGGGTGCTGTAATCTTTCCTCTCGGGGGATTTGAATGAAGCTGGGTTTCTCAACTTTGCCACTACTGACATCTTAACCAGACAGCCCTTTGTTGTAGGACTGTTCTGTGTATTGTAGGATACTAAGCAGTACCCCTGGCTTCCACCCACTATAGCAACAGCACCCATGTTCCCTTCCCCAGTTGTGACAGCCACAAATGTCTCTAGATACTGCCAAACAATTGACAATATCAATTCTGGTAAAAACAACCCACTAATACGAAGCTTCCTCCCTGAGTCTTGTAAGGTGTCCAAGCCTCTTGAGAATATATTTAAAAATTAATACCTCCTAACCTCTTTTAACTTGAAGAGGTAGCATGGTATTCCAGAAATAGGGTATCCTGTTGACAAGAAAGGCCCTTCCAGGCCGGGTGTGGTGGTGCACACCTTTAAAATGCCAACACTTGGGAGACAGAGGCAGGCGGATCTCTGAGTTCATCTCTGAGACCCTGTCTCAAAAAGACACCCCCCCTCCAAAAAAAAAGGCCCTTTTAAAGACTCAAATACAGCTTGAGAAAAGGAAAAATGTCAGTCATTTCAGGAGGTCTGCAGACTCAGTGCTTGAGCCCTGTAGTTCCAGTGCTCAGGAGGCAGGGCCAGAAGGCTCACTACATGACTCAGTGGTTAAGAGCACTTGCTGTTCTTCCAGAGGACCCAGGTTCAGTTCTCTGGACCGACATGGTTGCTAACAACAGTACATAACCCCAGTTCCGGGGGGATCTGATCTCCACAGGCATTGCATACATAGGTGCACCAGTACACATGCAGGCAAAACACTCATGTTCCTAAAATACAAATAAATATAAAAGTGAATTCTTAGAAATAATACATTTAAAATGCAGGTTTCAAAAGTTTTTAAAAGGCTGGGGCGATGGCTCAGCGGATGAAGTGGTTGCCACACAAGAGTAAGGTCAGAATTCAAATCCCTAACACCCACATAAATGCCAGGCAGATGAAGCAGCCCGTGTATAATCCCATCATACGGAAGGCAGAGACAGGAAATTCCCAGAGCAAGCTCGGTAGCTGGGCCAGTGGAATCAACAGGCTCTGAGTGAGAGGTCCTACCTCA